TCAAAGGGGAGTCGCTCCATCCCCAGATAGTGCGGCCGTCCTCTGACTTCCAGGGGTCCAGGCCACAGTTTGCGGAGCCCCAGTCTCCCCCCAGCTCCCTCCAAGCAAGCCGGACCCCTTTCCACAAGAGGCTTCTCTCCCCAAGACAGAGCGAGCTCTTCAAGGGCGGCTGGTGCTGAAGCAACAACCTGGGCTCAGCGCGGAGCTGTCCATAGTGCTGCTGACTCTGCAGGCCTGGGCTGAGACGGAGCCTGGGGATGCTGAGCAGAACAGGCAGCCACACAGCCCCCTTCCAATACTCGAAGGGCCTTCCTGTCGAAGGTGGAGCAGGCCTGCTGCTCCAGAGGGGAGAACCCCAACCAATGGATTAAGAGGAGCCGAAAGGAGATTCCGACCAAACCTTAGGAGAAATGTACTGGCAGGAAGAACTGTCTGCCTGTGGGGTGGAAGCTGGTGGACTCTCCTTCCCTGGAAGTTTTCAGCAGAGGCTGGACGGCCATCTGTCAGGGATGCTTTAGTTGAGATTCCTGCATTGCAGGGGTGGACTAGAGAACCCCTGGGGGTCCCTTCCAGCTCTACAATTCTGTGATTCTATAGGGATGTCTCTGCTAGGGCTATTTAAAGGGTAGGGAGCCGTGTTGGTCTGCTGTAGTCGAAACAAAATAAAAAAATTCCTTCCAGTAGCACCTTAGAGACCAACTAAGTTTGTTCTTGGTATGAGCTTCCATGTACACTTCTGCAGATACGTGCGCATGCACACTTCTTCTTCAGGTATCTGAAGAAGTGCGCATGCACACAAAAGCTCATACCAAGAACAAACTTAGCTGGTCTCTAAGGTGCTACTGGAAGGAATTTTTTTATTTTGTTTCGCTGGGCAATATATCAGTATTGTGATATCACTTTCATAATTCTTTAGCTAGCAATATATTGTGAATCATGATGTGTGTTAGGGGCTGGGCGATACATCCTCCGAAACTGGTTTGAAGTCCATATCGTGATATCAGTTTCATAATTTTTTGACCTGGCAACATATTGCAAATTGTGTGTGTGTGTGTGTGTGTGCGCTATGCAAAAATCACAATGTGGGGGAAACCGTGAAGCCAGCCGGTACTCCATAGCTCCATCCTTAATTCAGACATTGAGATATATCAATATATTGCAATGTTTAGCTGGGTGATATAACACAATGTTGGAAACCTGCTGGGGTGGCTGGGCCAGGTGAGGCGCAGGGTGGTCTGGCCAGGTTCTCTGGCGCTCGGCTTCTTCCCCAGAGTCTGCCTGGAGGGTGGAGGTTGCTGCTGCTTCTGAGCCAGGCGCTGGCTTTGGGGAAAAGGAGCCCTTTCCGCTCCTCAGGGCAAAAGCCAGATCTGTGCTGCCGTCTCCAGGGAAGGGGGAATTTAGTTGGTTTTTAAGTATGTCCTGCAACATCTCCTGTATTTGTGGGATGAGATATGTGCTGTTTGCTGAGATTTAAGCCTTGGGCTCTCTGACTCGCGAGCCCAGGAGACGCTTCCAGGGGCGAAGCCGGGTTGCCTTGCGACGACATAACTCAGATCCGCGGTGTATTTATGGCTGGCTTTCTTCAGCGCAAGCTCTGATGTCCGGCTGTAAATTATTCTGGCACCAGCTAAATAATAGAAGTGCTTCCATCCTCCAGGCCCCTTTCCCCTGCCAGCCTGTCCTGATGGCAGAGGAGGAGGAGGAGGGGAGAGGCCCCCCCTTGCCGAATGCACCCCCCACTCCCTGAGCTGCCCTTTCTGAGGAGCAAGACTTCCCCCCTGACCCCACTGGGGATCCGCATCAGTTGAATGCGCGAGGGGAGGTTTCTTAGATCGTTGCTAGAAAGCTTGGCTCTGGCTTGGCAGCGTCTTCTGCCCAGCTGACCTGGATCCAGGTTCAGAAGGCACCGGCGGGCACCCCAGGGAGGGCATGCTGGAGGGCCGCTGGCCTCCTTGGCTGCTGCTGCCATTGGCGCCCCCCCCCAATACTTTGGGAAGCCAGAGCCACTCCAAATGAAGGCCCTCCCTGCCTTTCTGCCTGCCTGCTTGCAGAGGTCTGGAAGGGGCCAGGAGGGATGAAAGGAGCCTTCTCTGCAGTAATGCTAATTATTTTTCTCCTCCTCGGGTTCGTTTGTTCGTTGGAGCTGCACATTAAGTGTCTGCCTTGAAGCAAATGGGGCACGGGCTCCGTATCTGCAGAGCCAAGCCTCTCCACAACAAAAGCCTCTGCAGCCCCCCCTCCCCTCCCCGTGGGGCGTCCAGGAGGCAGCCTCAAGGTCTCACCCGGCAGGCAGCTTTCCACAGCAGCCTCTGCGCCTCCCCCCCTCCTGGCTTTGCAGAGGGCGGCTGTGGGGCTCTTGCTTTCCTCCCTTCCACCCCACATGCCACTAGGGGAGGTCGGGAGGCAAGCTGCAGTCTAGGCTGCTAATTTAGGTTAGAGATGGCAGGACTTCCTAGGCTGCTGGCCAGCAAGGAACAGAGCAGCAGGGGAAGCTTTGCTTTGACTTTCATGCTCTGGTTGGGGGGGGGGACATGGCTGCCCCCCTTGGGGTGGGAGGCGTCAGGAACCCTGGGGGAGAGCATCCTTGGCCCTCAGGACTCAGAAGGGAGAGGCACAGGCAGGCAGGCATGTCATGGGAGGGGAGGTTTGAGAATCCTAGAACAGAACTGTGGAATTGGAAGGGATCTTGTCCAGGGGTCGGCAAGGCTTACCTCGCCTGGGCCGGTTCACTCCTGCGGAGACCCCTCCATGGGCCGGATTGCACACCCACCCACAATTTCTGGCGTCTGCGCAGATGCGATTTCCAGCGCCGCAGAAGCAAGTCCCTGCATGTGGCACAAAACCGGCGCGGTGCAGCGCGCAGGGACTCATCAACCGGGTGGCTTGGTTCGGGAGCGTCTCATGGGCCGGATAAACAGCCCCTGTGGGCCGCTTGTGGCCCATGGGCCTTAGGTTGCCGACCCCTGATCTAGTCCAACCCCCCGCCATGCAGCCTGGGTCTCGAGGACAGATCCTGCACAGCCTCCTTGCCTGCTCCTCCCTCCGGCCGAGTTTCATGCACACACAAGCAGACACACGCACATGGCCTTTGGTCTGGCTGGTCTGGGATTGGCTTGTGGGATCTTCTTGGCCAGCTCAGGACTTCCGACCTGTCTTCTGTGGGGTGGGAGAGAAGAAGGCAAGGAGAAATGCAGCCCCTCCCCCCTCCCCCCCTCCATCCCTTGATGGCACCTTCAGCCCCACCAGAGGAGTGAAGACGGTGCCCAGTGCTGTCCCCTCCCTTCTGGGAGTCTGGGGGCCCTTGGGGAGAGACCTTTGGGAGCAGCACCAGCTGCTGTGCTTAGGGGGAGCAGAAGGAGGCTGCTGCTGGGGGGGGGGGTTCCGGTTTGCTTCCAAGGCAAAGCCTCCTTTAATTGTGACATTTCATTTATTGCCTCCACCCCCCTCCTCCATCCCGAGGGAGGCCCAAAGTGGCAAATGGCCAACAACTCAATTAACACAAATATCGGAATCATCTCCGTGGCGAAACGAGTCTCGCGTCGGCGCTGCCTCCAGGTCAGGACAATAATGATAAGACAACAAGTCCATGGAGCCCTCCTGGTCTCCACGTCCTCACTCATTTGCTGCCCCACAATCAGCCGGTGGCGTCTGGAGCCCTTCCTCTCTCCCAGGGGGGCCTTGGCTAAGGACTCTTTGTCCTGCAGAGGGAAAAGAGGAATGTGCTCAAAACTGGGGGTGCTTGTTAGCTTGGGGGGATTTGGCAGTCTGGTGTCTCCTGCCCCAAACGTTGGCCCATCTGGGGGGCTGGCGGGACCTTTGGGCTGGAGCTCCCCAACCAGCTGCTTGGAGCAGATACAGGCAAACTCGGCCCTCCAGATGTTTTGGGACTGCCACTCCCATCATCCCTGACCCCTGGTCCTGTTAGCTAGGGATGGTGGGAGTTGTAGTCCCAAAACATCTGGAGGGCCGAGTTTGCCTAGGCCTGGCTTGGAGCATTCAGAGAATCGTAGAGTCTGAAAGGAATGTGAGGATCATCCTAGTCCAGGGGTCAGCAACCTTTTTCAGCAGGGGGCCGGTCCACTGTCCCTCAGACCTTGTGGGGGGCCGGACTATTTTTTTTGGGGGGGGGGGATGAACGAATTCCTATGCCCCACAAATAACCCAGAGATGTATTTTAAATAAAAGGACACATTCTACTCATGTACAAACATGCTGATTCCTGGACCATTTGCAGGCCTGATTTAGAAGGCGATTGGTCCGGATCTGGCCCCCGGGCCTTAGTTTGCCTACCCATGTCCTAGTCCCGTAAGGGGATTGAACTTGCAACCTTGGTGTTATCAGAACCAGGCTCTAGCCAACTGAGCTGTCCAGGCAGTCCTTCCCCCTGATCTGCGCTTCTCCAGCGTTCCTGCTGACCCGCTTTCTGGGAGGCTGAGAATAGGAGCTGCCTGGTGTGTGCCCCCCCCAGCAGCCGAAAGGGGGCGAGCAGGCACCGTGGGGGTTGGGTAGGAGCCAGGCTGAGAGGTGTTTGCATAGCTAATGGACTTGCTAAGCTTGAATTTAAGTGAGGGTTAATTTGCAGCACCTTGAGCTCTGCGCTCCTGCTACCTGGGAAGCCGCTCTGTCACACACGCATATATGTAATAATTTATTGGCCTGTTTGCCTGCAGCCTCTTCCCCCGCGGAGAAGGCAGGGAGGAGGGTCCTGCGCTGGCAACTCTGCAGACCTTTGCATTACTGGGAGGAGGACAGGAGCATTTATAATAAATAAAGGTTAGGCAATGCCGGGAGGCTGCGAAGGAGAGCTGAGCAAACTCCCAAGTATCCATAGGGGGAGGGGGTGGCGTTTCCCAAATCCTGGGCGCAGATTGTGGCCTGGTTCTTTCCCTCACGCTCCAAACCTCACCCCCCAGCCTCGCTTTAGCCAGGCGGCCTCTGAGGGCATGTTTGGCAAAGGTCTTTGTCGCCCAAGGAGGTTTTTCCTGTCCGTGGATTCTTTTGCACGGACGGAAAGCGCAGTTGGTAGAGCGTGAGATTCTTCATCTCAAGGTTGTGGGTTTGAATCTTGCGTTGGGCAAAACATTCCTGCATTGCAGGGGGTTGGCCTAGATGCCCCCTGTGGTCCCGATTCTATGACTGGTAGTGCCACCAGCCCAGAAGGAGGTTTTCTCCCAGGTGTGAGCCCTCCCTGGGGCTGCTTGTGGGCACCTGTTCCAATCATCTGGCAGCTCTTGGTGCCAGCTTTGTGTGGGGCATTTGTGGGTGGAGATGTCGATCTGCAGGCTGGATGTGTGGCACCTCCAGATCTCGCCCGTGGCCCCCAGAAGGGAGGGCTTTCTTCCTCCTCCCTGGCTGAGTGTTTGAGCACAAGGCTGCCCGCCCAGAGCTTGAGGGAGTTTCCTGGCTCAGCTGACTGTTGCTGTTGGATTTGAGTAGCTTCTGCTCAAAAGGCTTTATTTGCTTTCTTATTTACTCATTCCGTTTATATCTGGCCCTGCCTCCCCAAGGAGCCCAGGGCAGCAAACAAGCGCCGAGGAAGCGGCTTAGAAACAATTCCAAAGCAGACACAGCCTGGGAAAGGTCTCCCCTTAAACACCTCCTTGGGAGGGGAAGGTCTTCAGCGGCTGCCAAAAGGAGCAGAGTCTGCGCCTGCCTCATATTCGAGGGAGGAATCCTAGAAGGGCAGAGGAGCCGCCACACGCCAGCCCAAGAGCTGAGTTGGGTGGCACAGGCCTCCCAGTAAGAGAGTCTCTGCAGGACGTCCTCCCTTGCAGAGCTCTGTGTTCGATTGGGCAGAGAGAAGGGGCGATCGAGCATCTTTCGGGTCTCCTGCTCCCAAGCTGCCTGGGCTTTTTGCACATCAAAAACGGGCAGCTTCAACTTTCCCTGCTCTCCAGCCGGCAGCCAGTGCAGTTTTTCCAGCGGCAAGTTAAAATGTTGGCGAGATCCTGCCCTAGTGAGCAGCTGGGTGATTTGCCCCAGGGCAGCCTTGCCTAGAGCACATTGCGGTGTTCAAGCCCAGAAGTTGCCTGCGCATGGATGACCGGGGGGGGGGGAGGAGTCTGGCCCAGAAACATATCCTTGTCTGGATGACGCCTTGCCCCCCATCTCCCCATAACCTCTCCCAGGGGCTTCGTAGAGATGCCAAGCAGCATTGAGGGCAAAATGGTGCCCTTCTGCTTTGGTGCCATACCCAGGCCTGTGCCCAGATCGAAACAGGCTTCCTCCAGTCTGCTGCGTCCAGCCTGGCTCTGCGCCAGACGTTGCCACGGCCAGCGGCTGCCCCCGACTCCGGCCTTTGAGCCAAGGCTGTGCCCTGGGGCTTCCCCTCGGCAGCTGTCAGAGACGGTCAGCCGTGATGGGCTGGCTGGCGGCTCCGATGGGCTCCGGGTGGGAGAAGCAACCTCTGCTTTTCCAGGGATGCCTCGCTCAGCCTCTGTGCTGGCATGTGCCAGGAGAAGTGTGTGTGTGTGGGGGGGGTCACAGCAAAGCAGCTTGCCTTGGAGGCAGGGGCCGGGGAGGGGGGCAGGCAGTGGCGAAACAGGTGGTGACCTCTGTGTTAAAGCCCCTGCACTGGGTGCCCATCTGCTCCCCAGCCAGGTTTAGGGGCCTTGCCTTAATTTACAAAGCCCTGACAGCTTGCCACCCGCCCCCCCTTATATCTTGGCTCAGTCACTCAGATCACCTGCAGGAACGTCGCTGGTCGTTCCCCAAGTTGGTGAGGCTCCCTTGACAAGGACAAGGAGCTAAGCCTTTAATGTCATTGGCCTAGTCCTGTGGAACTCCCTGCCACTGGAGATCCAGCAGGTGCCAACTTCTAAATGCCAGATGAAAACTTCTATTCTGCTAGAATCCTACGCAGGCAGTGGGGAGCTCATCTTTCCGCAACGGCTAACTGATGTCTGTTTTTAACTTTTCGGTAGTTGTTTAATATACAATCATATACTGCTTTGATTTTTCTTTTTAATGATTTCATGGTCCCCATTTTTTTCTTTTTTTACAAATAAATAAATGAAATGACCAGGGGACTGGGCTGGTTCTCTTCTTGAAGTGACCTGAAGACAAGAAATTCAAGAAAGAATGGGAAGAGTTTATAATTTATTTAGGAGACCACTGTAAGCAGATGAAAACATTAGCAGGCTTTTAATCTCACCAAATGCTATGGACAATATTGAAATACAGATTATGAAATAATACGCAGTTGGAAAAGTTGACAATAGAGCACATGGAGGGGATGGGGGGGGAATATGTATTTGGTATTGTAACTAATTTACATCTGGAAAATCAAATAAAAAAGGATTTTAAAAAAAAAGGGAGACATGTCCCGATTGAGCCATGAAGAGCTGCTGCTCCCATCGCCACCCCTCCTGGGGACTCTGCCACTGCCCTGACTTCTGTCCCCCCCCATAAATTTTTATTATTTTCTTTACATATTATTTCTTACCATACATTCTTCAACACATAAACTTTTTGGCTCTGCCGAGCTCGTGGCTTCCCTCCCTCCCTTCAGTTGGTCTCCTTTATCAAGTCCATTGCATATTTTATCATTTCCCACCCTATCTATTTTGCATTGTAGGAGTTACTTCAGTCCTGCCACTGTTTTTAAGTTTTTACAACTGTCCTTCAAATATTCAGCAAATTTACTCCAATTGTCCTTAAATCTCTGGTCGTCCTGATCCTGAATCCTTCCGGTCAGTTTGGCATAGTCTGTCATTTTCGACTGCCCCTCCGCAATAGTAGGAACATCTTGTGATTTCCAATTTGGGGCCAGCAAAGTCCTTGCCACAGCTGTGGCATACATGAATAACTTTTATCTTAATCTCCTTAATCACTGCCCTGACTGCTGTTGCTTTCCCTCCGCAGGACAAGAACCGGAAGCTGCGCCCCCTCTACGACATTCCCTACATGTTTGAGGCCCGGGAGTTTCTGCGCAAGAAGTTGATTGGGAAGAAGGTAAGCCCGGAAGGGGGCCGAGGCAGGTGGGCTGGCGGGGGCCGGGGCAGAGCCCCCGAAGAACGGCTGGGCGCCAGGGCCCTGAGATCTTTATATTTTTTTTAATATATAATTTTTATTATTTTCAACATACCAATTATTATGCATTCCACAGAACTTCACATTTTATACAATCTTTTTGGACTTCCATCAGCACCTCTGATGATCCGCCATTTTTATCATTTCTTCTGCATTTCTTAAATTCCTATTGCCTTTAATTATCTTAACTCACAATCCACCTCTTTAACCATTTTTGCAATAATTCAAATAATTTACCTCACAAAACTTCTTGCAAACCTACAACCGTAATCTGGTCATCACAATTACTTTTCGAATAGTCCGTAAATTTACACCAGTCTTCTGTGAATCTCTGGTCCCGCAGGTTTCGAATTCTGCCGGTTAGTTTATCCAATTCTGCATACTCCATCAGCTTCATCCTCCATTCTTCTTTTGTCGGTAATTCTTCTTGCTTCCATTCTTGTGCCAATAATATTCTTGCTGCCGTCATTGCATATAAAAACAACTTACAATCCTTTCTGTTTATATCATCTCCTACAATGCCGAGTAAAAATGCTTCTGGTTTCTTAATAAATGTATAAATGTATAAATGCCCAGAAATCTTTAAATGAAGGGCAGTAGATAAATCTAATAAATAAAGTGATGATGATGATGATGGAGGAAGGCTTTGAAGGTGGCGATTTGGCCCAGCTTGAGGCCTGTGGGCTGGCTGGTGCCCGAGCTGCTCTTGTCTTCAGCCCCCCATGGGAGGCAACTGGAGGGTGTCTCCCTGCAGCAATGTTTGCGTCAAGAGGCAGTTTGGGGGTGGCGAGGGCCACCTTTGCACGCGAGTGGGGAGGGAGGGAAGGTTTTTTTGTGGCTTCTGGGGTCTTCCTCGGACCCACTCCTGTCTCCCCCCATCAACAACCTGTGAGAAGGGATAAAGATCTGGGTACCAGGGGCTCCCTTGTGCAGTTGAGTGTGCCGCTCGCAAACCGGCCGGCCTCTTCCTCCTGCCTTTGCCTGCTCTGCCCTCGACAGGCGGCTCCGTCCCTGATCTTCTCTGGCAGCCCCTCCTGGGCCCGCATCCCTTTGGGTCCAAGGCAGGGCCAAAACAGGCCTTTCCTGGCTTGCTCAGCGGGGCCTGAAGGAGCCTGGCCCCAGCAGAAGGCTGGCGGCAGCAGTGAGGAAGCTCAGCCCTCACCCTGGTGGGCGCCCAGGGGCTCCAGTCTGGAGGAGGGGCAGCTGGCATTCCCGGTGTGCCTGGAAGGCGGCTTGGAGAACTGCGCCTCCTCACACAGAACTAGCAGCACGAATCACACGCAGACTTGAATGGGGATTGTTGTTTTGGGTCACGGAATCAGGGTTGCCTGGGCAGCGGGTTCTGTGGGGTTTGGCGTGGGGTGCTGCCAGCCCCCTTTGTGGGAGGGGACCTCTGGCCGCCCCTTGACAGCTGGGTTCTACCTCCCTGGCATCATCCCAGGCGTGACGGCAGACCCTCTGGCGGGGAATTTGGGGCTGGGGGGGGGGTTTTGGGTCGTTTCCTCTGCCTCTTCCCCTCCTGCTCTTGTGGGTGGGCCCCCTGGGCCCCCACAGAGGAGTTCTTGAGCATATCCAGAGCTGTTATTACACCGGGACAGGGAGGGGGCGGCGGTAGCCTGAGCCACCGCCCAGAGGTCCGTTTTCTCTCCACTATGATCTCCCCTTTTCCCTTCCTTCTCACATTCCAGGGGGCTGTGGCAGCCTGCCAGCCCTCCCCCTCCCCAAATAAGGCCTCTTGCAGCTCCTTTGTTGCATTTTCTGCCGGTGACTTTGCACGCGCACGATACGATACGATACGATAGTCTTTATTGTCATTGTCCCATACAGAACAACGAAACTGAAATAATCTACATAAAACATTCAAAACCAACAAGCCTGCTATCCCAGCTATCCCAACCTGGTTAGCCCCCTAAAAACTCTGATACCCCATTTTTAAATACAATATACTCACATAAAGACTACCTTACACTGCGTTTAAAACCAAAATTGCATTTGGATAGAAACTGTTTCTCAGGTGGCTAGTCCTAGTCTTTATAACCCTGGACC